ACCCGTCTTGCGATTTGTCTGGTAAGATTTGGAGCCCGAACGAGGCTTTCACCGTCCCACATTGTCTCATACCTCGGTAGCCGTGGAGGTGGTGCTGGTGGTGGTGTCGATGGTGGTGATGCGGCAGAATTAAGAGACATGCGCGTGTGTGCGTGTGGAGGTAATGAGGAAAATTGTTCACGCGGTATTTTGTTGGGCAGCACGTGTCCGGAGCTCGCTGATTGGCTCGTGCTCGTGTCTTATTCCTGCGTCCCGTTTTTGTTGAATAAAAGCAGTTTTGATTGGGACACATATTAACACAGATCTGCTCAATTATCATAATACACACTTCAAATCGGTCAGTAGTAAACGATTTCTTATTTCGTGGTCAATTTTGCTGAGCGTATCCTCCTAGCTTGGAGTCAAGTGAAGAAAAAGACGAACTCATCTTTGCTGGATGTACGGAGTACTGCATCTGCTACCTTTTCTTCTTCATAGTAATCTCAATTTCCGCGGATCAGAAATGAAGTTCTCTGAATCACGGGGGAACAATTACACTTGGGTGCTATCCATTTGCTCCGCATGTTCACGTCTGCCCTTGTCCACACGACCAAAATTGTTAAAAGGTGTGCATGAAAAGAAAAAATGGATTTATGCTGAGCAAAGCGGTCATTACGGGGATTGATGTGTTTATTTGGAGGAGCAAAACGTCGAAAGGATGGCCAAACGTGAGAACCCCAAGGATATCATAAATACATAATCAAATCTTTGATGCCCCAATACGATCCATTAATAATGCATCATGCGAACCGGCCATAATCCGGCGATAGTAGCTGACAAAGCGCAACGGAGAATCGGAATCAAATCAGGAAAAACAAAACGTTCCCATTCCTTTGTATAGTTTGTAAAGCTTTGAATAACTCTCATCAACGATATGGTCTTCTGTGTCTTGACTACTCAATTTAAATATTGTTTAATTGCTTTACCGCTTCCATTGAAAATTTTTTAGGTCTTAAGGTCAACGGAAATACGTCGCATCGATCAAAGATGTCGAAATGCGTCCTCAGTAATGGTAAAGGGCGGATTTGTAGACCATCTAAGCCAGGACTTTCGACTCAGCAACCAGATGAGAACTTCACTGAAGCAGAGGAATTTGGCCTATGTGTAATCTATCGTTTCTCGAAAGCTAAACGACAATACAGCTCGCTATACTCTCATCCTACGACAACAATATTGACTTAACACTATTATGAACTAATTTTTTCCAAAAAAGGAACTGCAATGTTGAATCATCGACACACTTTACGATAAGAGAAGAATGTAGTGTTCAGACGTTGTTAATGTGGTAAACAGAGGCAGCTTCAGTTACTCATTTTTAGTACATAGTTGATGGTGTAAGAGAAGTGTGTGACTGGTGCTCATGTTTACGCCTTTGATTGGTTGACAAGTATGTGATTCTGCACCTCAGGGTAGTTTGCATCGTGATCAATTCAGTGAACCACCTAACTCATACCCTCGCCATGGCGAAGTTGGAGGACGCTACAATTACTGTAAGTTAGATGGGACATTGACATCTTGTGCCAAAAACTCACTTTTTCTGTGGTTAATCTCATTACATGGTCATCCAATTCGGTCTCAGAAAATAAATTGGGAATGGGAAACCGAAAGCGGTCTATTCTTACCCAACTTTCGGAGTTGCTTGCCTTTCTCAGTGAAAAGGATTCACTAGTTAGAGGTTAAAGTGATTCCCACGAAAAACAACCGCCATTACTTTGCTAATATCTATCTTGGAGTTGGTAGCATTATAGGGCCAGTGTAGAGAACTTTATTACTGAATTAATCATACTAGAATCCGGACTTCTACAAGAATTTTGAAATCTTTTCATTTGAAGGCGGCCGCTTTGTCAGAACTATGTAAAAATAGTTAGTATCCAGCGCACATCTCGATCAAAAATGCGAGGATGATTTGTGATAAATTTTAGCAATTTACTTCCATCAAAGCTTTGAAAATTCCCTTCCACTTATTTGATACATAAGATCTGAAGGTGTAATCTCTAGAGGTATTTACATTCTTCAACACTTTTGATGAAATTATGCGTCTATTTTTGCTAATAAATGACGTGAACATTTATACTAACTAAAAAGACTTCTAGAAAAAACAAAGTCACCTTTGAAAAATTTACGCACAAAGGTTACAAATACTTGTAGCATTCAAAACTTCGTGGCTTTTAGCTAGATCAACTGCTAAAACTGTCGTTAGAATTTTTCGGTTAACCGTGGGACGACTCGTGTAGTTAAGGCGCCATGACAATGTTGTTGCCACTGCAATCTTCTCCGGTAAAGCAGGCTAATGTGGGAGTGTTAACGTGATGTATATCTAAGATTTGCGCTTTTTAGTCCACAAAACAAATAATAATGACATGCTAAAAGACGATAGGACTAATAACACAATGTTAGGCTTAATTCCTTGTTATCTATGAGATAGTAGAGGGGGTAGGGTAGTGCCTCCAGACTGCTAAGCCTCTCCTCCGTGCCGCTGACAAGGGAAAGTCCATTTGGAATGAGTGGTGGAACGAGAGCATTATTGTCGCGAAGCATTTGAATTGCGTTTTCTTTCCTAAAGAGAAAAGTGTGGTAAAAATGAATTCGTAGTTCGCGGAGATATTGAGTTGTGCATTTTTTGCGACTTACTTCAAGAAGTGCTTCCAGTCCGACTGAACAATACAAGCGCAAAACTACGTTCGCCTTTCCATACCATTATTCACAATGGCAATCTCTCTAGTTCATCAGGTGGGACTTTACTAGGTACAGAATTTTGAGACGTTGAAAAGATTTAGCTTTGCATCATAAAGCTTATCGTCTCCAACTTTGCCCCAGATATTTTGACTAAGATCAAGATGTCAACACGGTAGCCTGACAACATCAAAGAGTCCATGCATTTTGAACCGTCTCGATGAGACCACTCAAGAGTTGGCACCGACGTTACCTGATAAGGTCTGACGCATCAAAAACTCTATCACTTTAAACTGCTAAAGGTGGTGAGAGTCGAGAGCCCAAGCTTCAATCATTAAGTTAATTTTGTTGTATTCTAGTTTCCACCGTTGTGCATACTTAAGGCCATAGTTCCACAAAAGTTTTTCAAACCATCTTAATTTTAAAATCAAAATTGCCTTGAAGTCGTCGGCGTGTTCGAAATCCAAAACCGCCTAATCACATTTAAGGACTGGAGTTAGAATACCGTTGAGATTCTTTTATTTGGCTCGAAACATCAAAGCCATTGTTTGGATTTTCAAAAATATCTATTGAAAAGGTTATTTACCTAATGATCATTCATTGTTCTTTTTCAAATCGCGGACGCCAGTTTTACCACATGACGAAATGTCCCCACTCAGGCCCGATCAAATTAATTCTGGCACATCAGAAATTCGATTACATCGACGAGCCAATCAAGGTCAAGGATTGGCAATTAAGGCGAGAGGAGATCATCACCGCCAGAGTGCCCGCACTCTGTATCCATCATCGTGACGGTCGAGTGGAATGGATGACTGAGGCTGCGGCCATTCTGAGGTGCCTGGGGAAGCAGTACAATCTCCTGGGCCGCACCGATATGGAGGCATATCACTGCGATCGCATCATCGGGAAGGTGCTTGACCAGTCTAGTGATTTTAACCTCTGATGCCGTATCAGTGGTTTGTTTTAACCATGCGTTTTCCATAGAATGCGTTCGCATGTTCTCACCAAATTCATCGCACCACCCTCATAGCAAGAGCTAATTAAATACCCCAATTTATCTTCGTAGGTGTCATTAGGATGATGAGTAGAATATGAGACATAAGTAGCGTCCACTGTTACCAACGTGTTACCTGTCATGGAACTCCCCATAGGAGTAGTCGTCTCCTTCAATCAGGTCCAAAATTGCTTTCATTTACTCCCACTTGTCCTGCTTCATTAGCCAACCCCGTCAACGTTGTGTGACCAACCCAAGTCATACGACCTTGAGGTCAGACATCAAAGTGGCATGATGGTACTTCCGACGCCAGCTTTGATCTCCACTACGGAAGTTGGTTTAGTGGACACTGCTGGGTTCTTCGTATTGTCAAACGCCTTTGATACTATTGAAACGAATCGCCATTAATAATTCCCGCCTTTTTGTTTTGTAGTTATTCACCAAGTTGCCTTGAAACAAATTCTATAAAGTTGAGAACCAAAAAGGATAATTTTTTTGCTGTTGAAAATTTAACTTAAAGATTTGCACAGCAATTGGTTGTGTCATCAATTGCTGTTCAAAATGCCATTAATGGTATTGTTAAAGTTGTTGTTCAAAAACGCTTTTGACTGAGAAAAAACATTGGTCAAATGGTTGTTATGGTACCAGATGTCAGTCCCAAATGAACCCTCTTAACACCTCATAATCAACGCTACACACCTGTGACTTGAACTCTTTGTTAATTCTTTATTTTGACTCCAGAAAAATGACATTTTCGGCTTGCAAAATGCATACGGTAGTTACAATAATCTTAGATTTGGCCATTGAATGCTGGTTTACGCTCTGAGATCTCGTAGGCGGTTATGTTAACCATACTCTATGGCAATCTGCTAATGGATTTGACCTTATTAGTAGTTTGCTAGTACTACAAAGCAACGGAAGCCACTTGAGATCAGTACAAAATTAGTGTCGATGTCACACACCCCACAAATTTGGGTCCAAAATTCTGCAGCGGAAGTGCTAGCATAGTGGTCCACTCTGAAGGTATTTTAAGTCATAAGCCAGGTTTACCATCAGGGTGCGGAAATGATGGGCGATTAGTGGCGTAATATAGCATAAACGGGGTTCAAAGCAAACCGTCTGTAGTGCGGGGCAGGGACGTTTCAGAGGACGATTACAGTGCCAGTGTTTTACATCAACTTCATGCAGTCCAATAACTCACGCTTAAATAATTGCTTTAGGCTATAAGTTATTTCCTTGAAAGAAGATGCATTTACTTAAAGGAAGATGAACTTCAAATCAGCACTTATAAGCACAATTTTCGATATTAAATTTTATTTTACACTGATACTTGGGGACCAAAGCAGTCACAGAAAGTCTGCTTTTAAGGATCAAAAAATAGGTTAGCATTTAGCTTTTGAAGATTCAATTAGTTTTTAGCTACGTTTCTGGTAATCACTTCTCTGTTTCTACTCATGTATCATTCAGTAGTATTGACGTATTTTGACTTATGGAAATAATTGTAATCGTCACCTCCTTACTATTTCATTTAAAGGTCATGGAGTCGGGTAGAATTCTCGCGGGATTCTACAAGACCAGGAAATTCCACGATTCTGATATGCATGAGCAGGAAGAATACAAGGAGAAATTTTTCGAAAAAATGTCCGTTGTTCTCCAGGCAAGCCTCACAGTATATTTTGCTTACCAGAGTTGCATTTCCAGCTACGCAAAATAGGAAACTGCTTTTGAAATGTGACGACTGAGACCTGTTGATGAAGGTTAATACAGTTAGTCAAAAAAGAAAGCTTTTTAAAAAATAATATGAGATGTCAAAGAACACCCTCAATTGTTACTCATTTCGGAGTAGCATTAAAAGGAAATGTTCGTAGTGAGCTATTGTCTCAAGGTTTTCTAAATAAAAACGTCTTTTGCTAGGACTGCTAAAATGCATTAAGTTTGCGGGGACCTGTTTATCTTTGTACACTCAGTTAAGTAAACGAATTGTCAAAGTTATTTGTAAAATAACATTTATGAGTTGAATAAAACGGTGACTGAGCTAAGTGGACTGTGTGCACTCGATTTTAGCACCTTGATCGGATGCTGAAGGAGGCGCCGGGTAGCTACGCTGCTGCTGATGTCATCACAATTGCAGATTTCTACCTTCTCGACTTTGTGGACTTCCTCAAGGCCAACAGACCCGAATGCCTCAATCAATTCCCGTATTTGCAGAAGTGGCGAAAGCACCTACTTGAAACCGATCAACCAGTCGCCAAATTCACTGCTTCGCGCAGTTGGATCATAGTATAAGACTGAAACAGTTAACGCTTGAAACTAACCGATAGGATGTCTTTACTAAAAAAAGTGTCCAGACCATCTCCATTCGGTCCTGTGATTCATTAGTAGTAAAAAATGAAGACAACAAGTACACTGCCGCCCAATTTTGCTGCCGTAGTTGAATATTTTGTGGGTTTTACGATTGTCACTATGTCAAAATTGCTATTTTTTCGGATAATATGTAATATACAGCTAGATTGCTAAGACTCTGAAGAAACTACATTTGGGAGAAATTACATTAATCGACCAGAATGAGTGATCACCTAAGCAACTTGTTATTTACGGCGGACTCTCCTCCTACACAGCCCATACCGCATTATATTTTGCGTGTTTGGCCAAAGTAACAAAAGTCCAGCCTTGGAAAGTTGTACATCTCCAGTCAGGCGTAACTTTCCGACTGCGCCTCTACCCTCATTGGGTGAAATAGAGGACAATTAGCTTTGTGATGGTATGGCTGAATGAGCCTAAAATAAGACTGCGAAAGTAGTGCTCGAAGACTCTTCCAGTAAGTGAAGAAGACGTCGTAATACGCGGATCAAACACATGCACTCAGCGTACGGAAGTACTATAGCTCTTAGGATGGTCTAGAGGGCCAGCTA